GTTCAAAAGTTAAAAATTTTTTTTAAACGGAACAGAATTACACGACATTATTAAGCATAGTTAGATGAAAAAAACAAAGAATATTTCAAAATGCAATGCAAAAAATTCCCTTAGTTCCTTGTATTTTTTTTCTTTAATTCTCCTAATATATAGATATTCCGCGTCGAAACCAATTCAGCCTGGTCCGAAATAATGGATATACAAATTAGCCTCAGTCCGCCTAGTCGACAACGAGAAAATCCGTTCAGTAGCATATTTCGACGAAAACGTCAAGATTTCTCCAGCTTGCCGTCTTATTGTATATGTCAAGTACCGAAAGTAATTTGTCCTCCCAGTCCGCCAGGACCTCGTGGTCCACCTGGTCAACCAGGACGTAGGTTTTTTGTTTTTTGCTGCTTATTCGAGTTATAAATACTTTGAATTTATCAAACAGAACAATTGCTTTTTCAGCGCAAGGTCAACCTGGATCACCCGGACGAGACAACACGGAAACCTACGCATCATTTACTTGTCCGCCACAAGACGTATCTTGCGTCAAATGTCCAAGTGGTCCTCCTGGTCCACCCGGACCATCTGGACCGCCAGGTTTTGCAGGTCCAGATGGAATTCCAGGACAGCCAGGATTTTCGGGCAAGATTGGAGCGGTAGGACAACCAGGACCAAATGGTAATAGTGGTCTGCCAGGGCCACCTGGCATTGTTGGTCCACCCGGCCCACCAGGCCAAAACGGATTAAGTGGACGAGGAATAGCAGGACCAAAAGGAAGTCCAGGCTCACCAGGATCTATTGGAGAATTTGGACCAGATGGACAGAAAGGAAATGATGGAATACCAGGACCAGTAGGACCACCAGGACGTACTGGCATGCCAGGCCGATCGGGATTGGATGGACATCCAGGAGCACCTGGTGCACCAGGTGTCCCTGGAAATGACGCCTCTTATTGTCCCTGTCCGCCACGATCTTTCTATTACAATAGATTTTCACAGTGATTTATGTTCGACCTTTATGTCTACGCACAAAAAATAAATTTTTAGTATCCATTCCAGACATTTGCATGGAATTTTAGAATTTCAAAATAAGTGATTTGAAAAGTAATCCACAAATTTCATTTAAATGGAAGAAAATAGCAAAAGTAATACAAACTATGAAAAAAAAACTCGGATATTCAAAATTAGACGACATCTGAATGACATAGAAACTAATTAATTTTTACTGTCGAAAGAAAATTCAGGGTACCTGGTGGTAAATATTCTTTCAAATATCAGTTTCCGGAGATCGATTGGGAATGAATTTGTCCTGCGAATGAATTTAACAAAATACCATAATTTTGAAAATAAATACTTCAGATAAAGTCAACAAAAGAAAAACAATATCACTTTTCCGAAATGATGTTTATCTTAAAAGCAAAATGTAACTTCGGAAACAAAAAATGAAAACATTAGCAAAAAGCTTTCATTAAGGTCTAATGATCCTTTAACGCCAGGTGATCATTAAAACCGAATCGAGACATTTTACACCAATCAATTTTCCATTATTGATTTGTTTTTTCCATTTTTTTCAGCAATATCTTAAATTTAATCTTACGCTACAATGTTCATGTTTCAAGCATTTTTTGCTTCATCTGATTTTCATCATGCAGTTGGCGACATTCACTTTCAGCATTTAAGAGACTATCCGGCGTTATGAATAATAGCATATTATTGATCTGTCGTGTGCTCAGATTCTGAATTGATCATTTGGAACTCAATTAAATTGTTTTACATTTTCAAAACACTGGATTTTCTATTGAATTATTAAAGTTGCAATCTGCAACTCCAGTATGAATTATGTAATCGGTACAAATCATTAATTGACTATACAAAAATATACAAATGAACGATTCTCTCTCGTCGTATCTCTTCGTGATCACAAAATAAACTATTTAATTGTAAAATTTAATGCTTTAAAATACTTACCAGAAGGGTTTCGCGTGTTTTAGGACAGGCACTGGCGAATGTTTTGTAATAACAGATTAGAGAACATTCCAAAGTCCTGAAAAAACGGAATTTTTTCACTTTTGAACCCCTATTTTTATAGAATGTTCTCGTGCAAAGTTTTTTTCTCTCTGCTTTGCTAGTGGATGTCATCTTATGGTACACGTAATTATTTATTATTTAACTGATTAATTAGTTAATTTGATTTTGCTGAAATCACTTAAATTTAAATAATATCATCTTATCGAAAATATACAGCCATATCCAGTCTCGAGAAATGAAATATTCCGGACATTATTTGCTTTTAATTTTGAAGCCTATCGCATGGAATTTGTTTTCAATTAATTAAAGAGGAGACATTAACGATTTTATCATTACTATCCATTTCACTTTTATTAACACCCATATTTCATGCCAATATATTATTATCTCAGCGAAACTATGTCAGAATGAAATCTTCGATTAAAGCGTATATAATTCTTGACCAAAGAAGACATAGCCGCAAACTTTCTGAATTGACGCCTACAATATTTGATGTCTTTTCGCATTTCTCAATTAGGCCTAATTTCTCATTCTGTACCACTTTTTAATCTACAGTATTTCGCCAAATTAGCGAAATTGTTTTGTAAGTGGGTGTTTACAAAAATATAAAATTGTGCTAAATTCAGTGACCAGAGCAGCCAGACTTTATTAAATCAGATTTTTTACACGTTTAGCAGAATATATTCAATTCTCATCCTTTTATTTCGATTCTTCATTAATCTTGACATGCATTTAATGGCTATCTTAACGATACATTATCGATTACGTTATATTTCTGTTCTGATGTCCTGTTAAAATCATATGAGTATATCTTAAAAAATTCATCATAAATTGAGATAAATCAAAGCGCGCAATAAGTTCCAGAAAGTGAGAAAAGTTCTTTAACAAGCTTTTGAATTTAAGAATATCTGTTTGTAAGAGCAATGTATAGGGAAATGGAATGACATCATAGAGCTCATGAGGTCGAAGTCCAAAAGTCCCTAAATTTTACAAATTGTAAAACTGACGGCTTTAAACCGAATGACAAAAAATTGTCCGTGGAACAGAAATTCAATCGATAAATTTCAAACCTGCAATAAATTTTGATTTGATCGTCATTGTTATCAGTTTTGTCATTGTTAAAGGTACATTGTGCATTGCAAGCTAAAGTAATTATGTAAAACAAAAAATAGGTTTATGTTTGCCAATTAATAATGAATCAAAATTTATCGTTTTTACTTATTCTGGACAATAATGCTAGAGGACTGATCCAAATTGCGAAATTTAAAATTTAAAATAAAACATTACCCATCGCCTCTTCATTTTTGAATTTTCCATAGCACGAAATTTATACTTCTTCCCTCATTCTCTCTCCAGTTAGAAAATCATAGCATAGCTGAGTAACAAATAATCACTTCATTTAATCGAACCAAAAATTGTAAAACTTACTTTTGTCAACATGTGGAGATGCTTTTTTTAAACAGTCAAATTGGTTTTCAAGCTCTGTAACAGAGAGAAATTGAAAATAATTTTCTTGAATTTAGTGTATAATACCATCCCAAATTACACATTTTTAAAATTTAACATAAAAATTATCAAATTAAATAATTCACGATGATTCAGAAATCAATTTGCACCTCCGAAAGAAAAGATATTGGAAACTTCAAGTAGATTGGATTTTCCTTTAATTAAATGAGTAGAAATTACAAATTATATAATAATTCTGATTTAATTTTGAATTGAATTTACCTTCATAGAAATCAACACAGTGTAAACGATAGAAAGTTGTATGATGATAAAAACGGTGTTGATCAGCTGGACTGCACTTTTGGCTGCACAATGCCGCCGACTCAAGTTTATCACATATCTAGTAAGCATAAAATTGAATTAATCATCAAAAACAGTTCAACAAATTCAAGACTTTTTCCAACTTAAAAAAACTTCAGAAAAACCAAAATCAAATACAACTTTAAATTCTGATGTGAAGCATTATAATTCAAATTAAGTTAATTTAAATTTTCAATCAGCCTATCGTTTATATTTGGCAGATGAGCACTCGCTAAACAATGCTAACTTTTTCGAAATTTCTAAACTGAAAAGTGAAGGAATGTTCGAATTTCAAAATCGATTTCAAGCATTCTTTCAGGCACCTGCTCGTTTCTGCTCCATTCGTCTCCACATCTACATCATAATTCATTATAATAAAAGAAAATTTAAATACATTAAAAATTTTATTGTAGATTAAAATGAATGAATTCTTAACAAAATTGAATAAAAGTAGATTGTGTTTTGTTAGTTAAAAACTGTTAAATTTTAACGCGATTTAAAAGTTCGTACATTTGGAAATAGTTATAACATAATTTAAAATTTTGAGTCATATTTCGTAAAACGACATTTAAATCTGAAAAAAGCAGAAAAGAAAATGAGCCTTGTCTGATAGAATTAAAAATATATACATGAAGAATGGATGACAACGTTAAGAACAACAACTGCAATGGTGAAACTGCAACCGATCGTCACCATGCGATATTTGAACGGCAATGATGAGAGCTTACATTGATTGACAACAAATTTAGGTCGCCTTAACAAATTAATGTCATTGCTACGAGGTCACACTATTAAATGTATTAATCACAAATAACATAAAATATTCCAATCAATCAATCAGTTAATTAATCCAACTAGAAATTGAGCAATATTTCAAGCACAAATCTGTTAAATGATTGCTAAATGATATTAAAATTGTCATTGAATTTTTAATTTAATAGTAATCATTGGTAGCAGCTTATTTTTGGCAATGATCAGCCCATTCACTTTGTTATGAAAAATTTAACTTCCATGAATGCTACTTTTGAGTCGTATCACAGCTTCAATCACCAAGTGATTTGGGTTCCACTGAAGAGCTTTAGTAAATTGAATTATCTAATTCAGATTGAATATCTTTTTCTCCTATGATATTTGCTATTCATTTTTATTTTATTAATATTTTTCCGTAAAAAATTTTCACATTGTAACTTTCTTTATTATGTATCTGTTTTAATTCCTGACCGAATCAAGTTACAGATTGATCTGTCATTTGTTAACAGTTTCCTCTCTCATTGCTTCTTCCATATACTTTGCCACTGAGAGTGAAACAAAAGAAATTTCCTAAGAAATTGAGTAATATGATCAGCTTGCTATCTGCTTATTATTATTAGCTTTGACAAAACTCATTGTTCACAAAATCCAAAAAAAAGAGTTTAAACTTTCTGACAAGAAAAAAGTCTTTGATGAGTATTTTCTCGTAATTTGCATTTGCTTACTCTTCAATTTTTCATTTTTTTTACTAATAAAAAGTTTAATTTTTAGTTAGGAATATTAATATCGGAGAATTAGTACCTGACCTTACTTCTTGTTTCAGGATTACCAAATTTGTTTTTTCTGAAGTGCTAACCTAATCTTTTCAACAGGAGGTTTCTATTGTAACAGATTTTGTTACTCCTCATAAGATTCAAATCTCTGCCACTTATTTCTATTAATTTGTATTTCAATCCTGTTCCCTGCACATGCTATTGCATCTTTGTACTATACTTACCAATGGAACAATAATAAAGTTTAATGACTTTCTTGGAATTAACAATCTGTTTGCATCTGTTTTTTGTATTACATTAAATTTTGAATATTTCAAATAAATTTTAAGTTACATCAATTTATATATGAGTCAACAGTGCAAGAAAATAGGACAATATAAAATGTATTTAGCATGAATTAGTATGCAATGATCTAATCTGTTAGCAAATGTCGCATGATCACTTCTCGAGCGTCTTTAATAGTTGAAACAAATTGTTGAATCATTGAATGCATTTAAACATCTCCCTTATGCTTGTTTTGATATGGAAAAAAGAATTTGAAAAGTGATTGACAAAAGGTGAAAAATATTATCATTGGTATAGAGAGCATACTGTATAAAGTGAATGGAAGAAAATCGAAAAATTGCAAAATTTTTAAATCAAAAAAGCACCAAATAAAGTATGTGTGCCTTAATGTATATTTCTTGGTA